CTCCTTCCCATACGGCGCGGCTGGTGTCGGTCGCTCTCCGAGACCACGATATTCAAGATTGGCCTGCTCAGTCGCCTGACTCAAATTCTATCGAGCATGCCTGGGACATGTTACAACGAAAAGCTTTGAGAGATTTCACGACGGAACAACAACTTTACGAACACTTGCAAAGAAAATGGGATGTCATACCGCAGCAAGACATTGACAATTTAATTTTAAGTATAGACAATCGATGTCGATGTGTTGCTTTATTAATTAAAATTTGCAATGCAAAATGCAATTCAGTTATTAGATATACGATAAATATGAATAGCAAGGAAATAAGTGCTAATTAGGTGCTGCAAGTATACGCAATAACAAGGCGCCCCTAATAAAAATAAAGTCGTTATTCAGAACATAGCAGATGCAAAATTCAGATTTCCTGAAATAAAAGCAATAAAAGGATACTAAAACGGAACATGGGCAGCGGCATCTACCTGATAAAAATTCAAAATAATAAAAAAACTGCGGTTGCCAACCCACCTGCCAGGCGCACCACAGGAACTTGTATTTAGTATTAGCCTTTTGATAGATTATCAGTACCTACTATTATCAGTATAATTACAATTTAATATAAACAACTCATGTTATTGACTTATTCACTTGTCTCTCAATTGCTCGGAATTGTTAGCCTTGAGACAATTTAGATAACAAGCAAGTATTGTAAGAAGTATTATAGCAACGTTATCGAGTTTGCGCTGATAAAATATTCAAAGAAAAACATGCTTATATTTCTGTATTGGATAATGTATCGCATTGAGTTTGTATTGTCGAAATCAATACGATACATGTTGAAGTGAACTCTTGAGATAAAATCTGAGTGATAAAACAATACATGCTTGACATTACGTAGAAGAAAGCATAACCCGTCTTATCAACAAGCTTAATGGTTCAAATATTAATTTAAAAACCCGAATGTGTTAAAAAAATAAACAAATCTAACGACACCTAAACTGATAAAATTCATCAAGCCGTTTAGGCTATAGAGCGTGCCAAAGAAATAGACACATATATATACATACTCTCAAAAATCATTACCTCGACCAAGTCAGACAAGACCGTCGGGTAAAAAGTAGTTTATAATTAATCTCAAGTTTGTTGAGTATGTTTTAATAGGATTCAATGAATACATCTCGTCGAAAATATGCGAATTAAAATGTAAAATATGAAATTTTATACATAGCTAATATAAAATTTCTTAAAACCGTAGTTTAACCACAAGGCAATAAACTACTACTACTTTTTTAAAGATATGTAACATATTTATATACATATAGTTAAATGTTTAGTTAAATGGAAGAGATTTCGGTACAAATCTTACAATTTGCTGATAATCGTTATAGTTTACTCTGAATATTATGTATGTATTATGTCGAGAAGTTAGAAGAAGCCGCTTCAAAAATAATTAATGGGGAAGATGTTGATGGAAAAGAGATTGGTCATAATTTAGAATCAATCGATAGTGATGATGACGAGAAGCGATAATACTGTCACCGCTTAATTCGATACTCTAACGGCAATAGGTAATGCGTCAAACACGAGCGTATTCTAAGTTCAGGCTCATGCAAGTAAGTAAATCTCTTATCACCTGTATTCTACTCGTTCGTACGAGTATGTTTCATTTCACGTTCACAAGTCCACGATCGCAGCCTTTCACAAGTCCACAAGTAATTCCACAAAGCACAGTCCAGAGCTACCTGCATCCATCGACTTCATCAACTCCATCTAGTGGGGGGCCGCTCTACATTTCACCCACCGGTACGAGACTGCCACTCGAGAAACTTTCTTCCCCATTCGTTGTCGGTTTTTCGAGCTATATGGCTAGCCTATTGCCACTTCAGCTTGCTAATTCGTTGGGCTATGTCGGTCACTTTGGTTCTACTACGGATTTCCACATTTCGAAGTTCATCACGCAGAGAAACCCCGAGCATAGCCCTAAGTTTTACTTATTATGCCGTAAACTATAAAACACGTACGAAACATACAAACGAAATAATTACAACAGCTTGGTATTTTAGGGGCTACTTAGCTAGTTTGTGTTATAGGCCATTATATAATAAATCAATTACCACAAGAAACTATGACGTAGCAATAGTTGTTCCGGATCTGGATATGTTCATATTTAATATAAGTTTGTAAAATATCTCCACGATACATAACAAATTCTTATTTTAACTTGTTAAGTAAAAGAGGAATGAAGTTTTTTATTTTTATAAAAATGTTATTATACATGTAGTATAGAAGTGGTAGTATAAAAAAATTAAGACCCCGACTTCAGGAATACCCAAAGTAATAGCTAGAATGTCGGCTTAATAATTAAGATTAAAAAACTTCATTCCCCATTTTCCCATCCTTAGGGGTGGATTTTTTAATTTTCCAAATTTACAACCACCACGCCCGAAGTATAGCTATTAAATAAAAATAGAATCAATATAATCAGTTTACAATCAACGAAAATATCGAGTAAAATACAAAAAAAAAGAAAGTTGAATTTTAAACCTCCTTTTTTTTTAAATGGTAAAAAGAACTAGGCATGATATAAGTCTTTTTTTATATAGGAGAAGGAGCAAACGGGCATGCGGCTCACCAGTGTGGTAAGTGACTACCGCCGCCCATGAACAACTGCATCACCAGGGGAATTGTAGATGCGTTGCCGGCCTTTTAAAAAGGAGTAGGCTCTTTTCTTGAAGGTCTCTAAGTCGTATTATTAAAGTCGCAAAGAGTTGCAACATCTATACGCAGTGCCAGTGAGTCAAGCCGATCGAAAAGAGCTTGTAAGTTAAGTCTGCCTTAAACGTAAACAATAAGAAGTTGTACAATAAAATTCGGGAAAAAATTTTCTTCGTATTTTACAATTCACAAATGGCGGGAAAGTGGTTTTTACTTTTAATTTTGCCTTTATTTTTAATGTCCTATATGTATTAATATTAAAACCAGCCAGATATAAGTAGTACAACCAAATAAATTTTTCTTCAATTTTATACAAACAAAATACGAAGAAACTTTTTTCCCCAATCTATTATGTATGTGGGACGATTTGTTATCTAATATGAAGAATGAGGTTAACGTGCAGGTATTTATTAAGAAAGTGTTAAAAGTTGTTTTTAAAGTAATATCTAAAATAAAATACGTGATACTCATAATAAATTCAAGATTTTAACATTGAAGCTAAAATGTTGAACAAATCTTTAAATGCAGGTGTTTTGTCTTCAGTTTGGAAGGATTCTAATATTGTCCCTATATTTAAATATTGTGTTCAAATCATTGTATCTTACTATAGGCCAATAGCTATTTTGTTTGTTCTTCCAAAGGTCTTCGAAAGTCTTGTCTTGGCATTTGGAACAGTTTTTGTCGAGTACCTAATATGGATTCATGAAGGTGAGACTTACGGCTTCTAACCTAGTATCATAATATGTCAAAACCCTTGTTGGGGCCGTTGACTCTCGTGTACAGGTGGACGCGGAATAAAAAGGCTTTAGCAAGGCTTTTGATACAGTAATTCTTAGTATATTGTTAGTAAAATTACAATTATTTGGTGTAACGGAACCTTTGGTAGGATAGTTTGCATGATATCTGGCTGATCGAGAGATGAGAGTTGTATTGAACGGTATTTTCTCAAGTCCTTATGCTGCATCGTCTGGAATCCATGAGGGATCCCGTCTGGGGCCCTATCTCTTCACATTATTTATAAACGATATTGAGCAGTGTTTGCAAAACTCTGGACTATACTTATTTGCTGATGACCTAAAAGCTGTTAAAATGATAAGGAATCGTAGTGACATCCTGGTGTTTCAAAGTGATCTAGATAGGCTGGCAGATTGGTGTAACTAAAACAAAATTTTCTTAAAAAAATGCAAGCATATCAGATTCACCAGAAACAGAGGGATCGTCAATTCTATTCTATAATCAATCTTTATTCTGTTATAGTATATGTAACGAATTGCTTGAAGAAGTTCATGTAATTAAAGACTAAAAAGCATCAAAGATTATTGGGTCTGAACTAAAAGAGTGTAGCAATTAAAAAAAAACCAGCCAATAAATAATATTGTACAACTCACTCGTAAGCAGTCATTTGGAATATTGCAGTGTAATTTGGTCACCCAGTTACAGAATACGTATAGACCGCATTGAAAAAGTACAGAAAAGGTTTCTGTGGCACTTGACTCGCACCTAAAATATGGGCAGGAAACTCAAGTCATATGATGAAAGACTGTCTCATTTAAGATCCCATTATTAGAAACAAGAATAAAAATTATAGATTGGGTGTTTTTAAACAAATTAGTAACATGATTTTTAGACTGTTCCAATCTTCTTAGTAAATACATTTCACTGTACCGCATCGGTTGCCTAGATCTTGTAATAACAAATTAGTTGTTGCACCCCAAGGTTGAAACATTTTAAATTCACATTGTTCCTTAACAAGAATGTTGTCATTATATAAAGAATAAAAAGCAGATTAGGTCTATTGACAACCTCGATGGCTGGCATCAAAAAAGTAGTTATCAGTGATTAAAGCCATGTAATCACTGTAGTTTCGTCTTTGTTAATTTTAGTTTTTAATATTTCTGTTACTAAAACAACGTAGGGTTTACTAATTATGCATGTGGTGTCCTCCTGTAAGTAATGGGATACTCAGTTAAAATAATTATGATGTAATTCCAAATGTATGTAACAGTGTACTCATTGTTGTGAGAATCTAATAAAATAAATAAATAAAAATAAAGAATCTCTACCATTTTATATATTTAAGTTTCACTTCTTTCACAACTTAATTTAACGTAGAACAATTGTTTATACGCGTATCTAAAGTTACTCTATTTAAAAACGCTTAAATGCTGACAATTCGAGGCGTTATCTAGAGTTAGGATAAATATATAGCCATCTGAATATAGCATATCACATCTATTACTGATTGTAGCTCCGTTTACGCTAATTATTCAGTTGTAACCTAAGATCGTGCGATGACGGACACTGAGCTGATTTTACGCGACGTCCTCAACATTATTGCCGCTAAAGAGAAATATGAGTATTGCGATATAAAAATTAAACTAAGTAATACTGATGGCGCTAACTATTCGTCTGACTTGTATGAAGCGACAATATCTGCACCAAAAAAACCTGACCTTGAACTGTTCGGAAAAGTTGTCATAATAGCTGAAGATGTGAGGGCAGCTTTAAATGTTCCAGTATTTGACGCAGAGCATTTATTCTATACTAATCTATTAAATGAATATAGATTTTTAGAGGAGAAATATAACATTCCAGAAAGGAACAGATTTCTAACCGCGAAATCTTATGGCTTTGATAATGGATATTTAAGAGAGACTGTTGTTATGGAGAATTTAAGCAAAAAAAATTTCAAGTGTTTCAACAGATTTGAAAGTGTAACCTGGGAATATGCCGCTGAATGTATAAAACAGATGGCTTATTTGCACGTTTTATCAGTTACTTTCGGACATTATAATTCCGAAAAGAGAGACGAAATCTGCAAAAAAATTAATTTTAAGTTTCAAAAATTCATGTTCGATAAAATGGTTGAAAATGCTATCGCCGGTGCCAAAAAAGAATATCGAGAAAGGTTTACCGCGTTCTTAAAAGAAAATTTGAAAACTGAAAATTTCGAAAAGTTCTTTAAGCCAATTCACCTTGCAGTGATAGCGCATGGAGACTTCAGACCGAGTAATTTGATGCATAGAAGACTTGAGGTATGTTGAGTTTACTATTGGAGTACTTTTACTTTTTGTTTTATACTTTACTACAAGGATTTTATGGATGGTAATTGCCCCTGGGAATGAGCTACCAATCTATTTCAAATTTGATTTGTGTTACTAATCGTGTAACATACATGATCGTACTGTTTTTTTGTTCAAATAAAAACTCCCTCTCAGTTTCTTGCTGCTTCTTCCCTGGACAGAGATATTTTCCGAACCAGTGGTAAATAAAAAATAAGAGTGGCTTTCAATGAGTATTATTTATAATCTATACTATATTGAATAAAAAAACATTCTATTTCTATTTCTACACCAATGTACGAGAAACACTACAATTTAGACTAAAGTTAATTAATTTACAGCCTATATACGTCCCACTAGCTATTATTTTTGAGGGTGTTATTAAGCCCCGCAACGCTGCTGCAGTGCGTGATTTTGGACTTCATTCTGCATTTTGATTCTTAATAGAAGATAAATGTAGATGTCCATAGGCCACAGCATTCATTTGTGATCAGGTGGACTTGTGCTCGTTTGTCACCCTTATTATATAAAAAATAATGTATAAGAAATAAAAATGACACGTGTGAAGTTCAGCGACGTGCATTAATGTAGGGCAGCCGTATTTTACTTTCCCTAAAAACCTCTACAAGTATTTTCGCTAACTTAGTTAATATCTAAATGATAATGACTTTGTAATACAAGGTTTCCTGTGCTATATAACTTTTTATAATGCCGGGGAACGTAAAACAAACGAAGTAATGTAATACAAAGTAACTAAATTACGATGTCAACTAAATTAACAAATAGGCCAATTAAGAAATTAAAAAATTCCAAGCTTTTCGGATAAAATATGATCTTGATCACAACTGGCAATGTTCTCTCCATATTCGAAAAGTTTCATTACAATCAGTTCAGCCATTCCGAAGATTATCCTGGACAACCACACAGACAAAAATGAAAAAAAAATGGTTATTCATGTGTTAAATATATAAAAATAATATATATATATATATATATATATATATATATATATATATATATATATATATATATATATATATATATATATAGTGTACGCTGGAAATAAGCCACAGTGCGCGGGCAACCCGGGTTCAACATTTACACTTACATAAAAAATACAGTCAAATTGAAAACCTCCTCCTTTTTTAAGTCGAGTGAAATTTTAAAATTTAGTGATTTAATATTAAATTAACATTCGTGATTTAGTAATCCTTGAAAAATAACTTGTTAGTTGCACTTGCCACTCGCACTTGTCACTTCTCAAAATGTAAACCGGGCCTAAGATAAAATAACTGCAAGAACTTCAAGACATATGTCGCTTAATGTTTTTTTTTATAAAATAAAATATCACTACCCCATATCATCTTGCGGGTGCTGCAAGGGGTAGCAACTAATTCCTAATAACAATTGAAAACAATTAACTACTCTATAACCCCTATAAGGTCGTCTATGCGCGAGGCCAATGTTCGAGCAACCCGGGTTCGATCCCCGCCGGCACCAATGAAATTGTTAATTGCAATAATTTTAGGTGCTGATTTACCACGTGCTCGGCGGTGAAGGAAAACATCGTGAGGAAACCTGCATGTCCGAGAAATAAGAAAAGAAAATATTTCGAAGACATTTCCTTGTCCTAAAACCCTCTCAGGAATGAGAGGAGGCCTGTGTCCAGCAGTGGGACGTAACTAGGATGCAACTTTACAATTAATTAATACTTTTACTAATTAATTTACAAAAATTTAAATTTAATTCTTATTGAAAGCCATTTTTTTACTTTTACCATTGGTTCGGGAAAAATGTTTGTCCTGAGAAGAACCAGCAAGAAACCCAGTAGGACGTTTTTTCCAACTAAAATTATAATATAATTAAATACAGGTTGCACGAACTACTCACAAACTTATATAAGAAAGAGCTTGGAAGCGATCACCTCATTCCCAGGGTTATTCTCGAACTGGTATTAATTTATATAATAATAACCCTTTATACGGTTTTTGTTTAGTAAAATATTTATACTTTATTTATATATTTATTTAACACCAACACGACATACACTAACAAAAGCATAAGTTTACGTGGTAGAGCCAAACTGCAGCTATATTTATAGTACAGTTGTAACACGAATGGGTCAGCTCGACCGGGGAAGGACCACGCTCTCACAGGATACCAGCGTAAAATAGCAGCTTAATGCTGCTGTGTTTCGTATGGTGAGTGTAGAGAACCGGATACCCTTTCTACTGGAAAAGAGGCATTACATATAAGTTCTCAAGGCTGACAACGCATCTGCATTTTGATTCACAAACGAGGATAGATGTAGATGTCTATGGGCCTCAACAACCACTTACCATCAGGTGGACTGTGTGCTCATTAGTCACATTATTCTATAAAAAAATAGTTTTAAAAGAAATCAGAAATTCTTAGTCAGATGTTGCACACATTTCATTAAAGATAGACAGAAATCTATATACTTATGCAGTGAATTAAATTGAATACAAATATTAAGATAGGAATAAATTAAATCAGAATTTAATATTATATAATATTATAATTCATGCAGAATTTCCTACTGTGATTTTCACTTTTAATGTAAATTACAATCGTTTGAGGAATATAAATGTAAAAAAATCACGTTTAAATTTCGAAAGATCATCTGAATTATGTCAATATCAACTTTTCTCTCTTTATGTTTATTATCTTAACTTTATGTTTATTTATATAAAGCATTATAACGCAACATCAATCTATTAATGGGAGAATAGCGTCCTTGACGCGAGTGCTTCTTCTAGAAATAGTATAAAATGCGACGGCTTTATTGTCTTTAATGAGGCATGTGTATTTGCCAGAGATCTGTCTGTCAGAAAGAGCCAACTGTCAAAGCTGAAGACCGAGTGTGGCAGCATCGTTTCCGAGACACCTGAGATTTTGAGTTAGATTGGGAGGTCCTATGGGAAGTTGCACACGTCATCGTTGGAGCCACACGCAAGTGAGAGTAACCATCCAAGAGAAAGTCTTAAACGACACTATTCTGATGATATCCTGGACGTCAGTCTGAGCGAGATTAGATTGGCTCTCCAACACCTTAAAAACGGCAAGTCCCCGGGCGACGATGGAATTACAACGGAGCTTCTAAAAGCGGGTGGAAAATCGGTACGAAAAGTCCTTCAGAAGCTATTTAATTCCGTCCTTCATGGAGGTACTACTCCAGAGGCATGGAGCACAAGTGCGGTGGCCTTGTTCTTCAAGAAAGGCGACAACGCTCTCTTGAAGTACTACAGAACAATTTTCCTATTAAACCGCGTCTACGTGCTGTTTTCGAGAGTCATTTGGAATCGTCTGGCATACAGACTCGACGACTTCCAGCCTCCCGAACAAGTCGGTTTCCGAAAAGGCTTTAGCACCATATACTACATACATACCCTTCGGCAAATTGTACAGAAGACCAAATAGTACAACCTGCCACTTTGTCTTGCGTATGTGGACTATGAGAAAGCCTTTGATTATGTCGAAATTTGGGCGGTGCTGCAGTCCCTCCAACGGTGCCAAGTGGATGTCGGTGTATCGGAGAACTGAAGTGTTTGTACAGTAGGGCTACGATGGCTATCCGATAACAGAACCAGAGTACGAAACCTATCCAACTACAGCGAGGTGTAAGACAGGATGACGTAATATCCCCGAAACTCTTCACCGCTGCATTAGAAGACGTTTTCAAGCTACTGGTCTGGAAAGGATACGGTATTAACATCAATGGCGAGTACATCACTCACCTTCGATTTGCCAACGATATAGTCCTTATGGCAGGATCGCTGGAGGACCTAAGCACTATCCTCAATGACCTCAATAGTGTTTCCCAACGGACAGGTCTTAAGATTGACATGGAAAAAACAAAAATCATGTTTATCGTCTATGTCACACCTATGCCGGAAATTGTTGTAAGCACTAAGCTGGAACTTGTTGGCGAATATGTTTACCTGGGAGAAATAGTCCGACTAGGTAAGTCCAACTTCGACCGAGAGATAAATCGACAGATTCAACTCGGCTGGGCAGCGTTCGGGAGATTACGACACATCTTCTCGTTAGGCATACCTCAAAACCTCAAAACTAGATCGTTCAACCAGCGCGTGTTGCCAGTGATGACCTATGGAACTGACACGTGGTCCTTCACTGCTGGCCGTATGAGGAAGCTTAAAGTCGCTCAGCGAGCTATGAAGAGGGCTATGCTGGCGTTTCTATGTGTAATAGACTTAAAAACGAGGATATCCGCAGTAGTACCAGAGTAACCGACAGAGCCCGAAGAATTACTACGCTGAAGTGGCAAAGGGCCGGCCATATGGCCATATAGCTCGAAGAACTGACAACCGATAGGGACGAAAGGTTCTCGAGTGGCAGCCTCGTACCAGCAGGTGAAGTGTAGGGCCTCCCCCCGCTAGATGTTGTGACGACCTGGTAAAACATGCAGGACGTCGAAGGATGCAGGTGGCTCGGGACCATGCTTTGTGGCATTCCTTGGGGGAGGCCTATGTTCAGCAGTGGATTTGTGAACACTCTCTATTCCTAACTTCGAGTTGATACTGAGAATTTATTGTCTCAACTCGAGATTTGAAACCCGGACCTCAAAATCAGCAGTCGCTTTTACGACCACTATACCAAATCATGCATAAATTGGCATGACAAATATTCCCCCCTAAGAAGTAATCTATAAGGGAGTCCTAGGTTTAGCTGTGGATAGGAACAGTGGAAAGGCTGTATACAGTTGGATAGCCATCTGTATAAGTTTTTGCCTAACTAAACGACTGGACCGACCGACGTCCAGTAGTCAGCCGTTTTTCATCTGGCATAATATTTAAAAAGGTTTTTTTTTCAGACTTTAATAGGTGATTTTAAATTTGTTAAAAATTACCTCGCGTACATCCGCTCGATCAAATAAAATGATGTGTGTTACGTAGTTTGAAAAGCACCTCCCGCCCTCCTGCAATTGCGTGAAGTATCCCCGTCACCAATAATCCCAACACCACTACACTAAGAAAGACACACTACTGACGACAATACGACACGTGTTTCGCCTCCACACGAGGCATCTTCAGGTGATGTAGACGCTGCTGAAGATGCCTCGTCATCGAGGGGATGTACGCCGATGGAAGCAGATGGCTCGGGACCGTACTTTGTGACATTCCTTAGGGGAGGTCTATCTTCAGCAGTGGATTTTTGAAGGGTTGTGTTGATGATGATAATATTTCAACATTTCCCCATAAATGAATTACTGACTCTATGGAGTCATGAAACTGGTATCACTAGTTTGTATTTGTTCTTGGTGTTTACAGAGTGCTTTTATAAAACTAATTTTTGTGAAGTTATATTTAATAAGTTTCGTAAATTTACTGATAGGGCCATGTTAATATATTTATATATTTTTTGGTTTTAGCTGGTAAATAGCTCAAGGAATCATAATAGCAGAGTGTTATCTAAGGTAATAATTGGTAAACACTCTCTTCTATTATAATACTGTAAGTGGCGGCCGCTAAAATTGTGTGTGAAACGCGTCCCTACGTCATACGTCTTGCCGAAAACTGAGGCCTTTTTATTAAACTGAGGTGACAAACAAACTTACCGTAAACCTAATGGTGAGTAGCCCAGAGCAGTCAGTCCATGGACACCTGCAACCAACTTCGAACAAAGAATGCTGTAAATACATTATTACCTCTGAGGACTAAGATGGAATGCCTCACAGCCTATCATTATACTGGCTATCTGTATCTTACAGACTGGAACAAAGCAGTGCAAGCACTGGTTTTTGGTTACAGAAATAAGTAAGAGGGTAGTACCTCTCCAGACTGACTACCAGAGTGAAAAGTAGTCCTACCACCTTGTAACCTATCTGCTTGTTTATCAGTTTGTATGAAACGCATGACTGGATACAAGGCTTTTTAGTCTGTAGCAACAGCTATTAAATTTGTTTCTATTCACCACCCAGGACACTCGCCCTGCTGATTTATAACGTGAACAAAGCTTAAATTTGCAGTGAAGCAAATACTGGGAATCCTATGTCGAAAAAGAAGCCATACCATTAGTGACTTAAGCTAAACCTTTTCTTATTAATGTTACAGGATGGTACATTGGAGATAGCGGTTCTAGATTTTCAGACAATACAAGTGTGCAATCCAATCTTAGATCTGCTGTACTTCATCATCAATGGTACGGATGAGAAGTTTCGCCAACAACACTATCAACAGCTAATTGAGCACTATTACAGTGAATTTTGTACTGCCCTACGAAGATTTAGTTTAGATCCTGACCTCATCTATCCAAAGCAAAACTTTGACAATGACCTAAAAGAGGTAATTCTTTATCTAAAAATATTACAATTTTTATGAAAGTGTGGGTAAACTTTAAATTAAGTTTTGTTTTTATAATACGTACAGATTAACATTAAGATATTATTGCAATTGTGTTACATCTACCACAACCTAAAATCGAGTCCACCGTGACTTTATGTGAAACGGAATATAAAATTTTATTGAAACATTCCAAAATAAACCATTATTATGAAACTTGCTATCGTGTAGTGGAGGTGAAAGGATATCCGCCACCCCATAGCGTTTCGTGGGTAGTAAAGGCGGCAGAGAGAAATAAACCAGGAGATGAGCTGCAGCGTCTTCCTAATAACTACCAGAAAATAAAAACTGCGATTGTCTTACGACACAACCTTATAGAAGAACATTGCATTGATAATATACATTACCTCTGAATACATGTAAAAAAGTTCTTCCTGGACGTTGGTGTCATTTACAAACATAAACCTCCATACGCCGTAAAGTTATGGAAAGGGAACCTTGAAACAAATGACCTCCTCAGTGACCATCAATATGTCATCTGCTGGGGACTTTAAACTGGGATCTTCTTGTATATGTCACGTACTTCTGGGGCGAGACCATCGAGAAGAACGGTGAAGCTCTAGCGATTTCACTCAGGACGCAAATCTCCTGAGCAAGCTTCCTGCTTACGAATCATGTCAAGGAGGGGCAGTAATACGTTCACTCAGAGAGACCATGGTGGAGCGGTTAATGCGACCTTAAATCTCATCTCCCCATGGGGTGATGACAATCCGGTCACTTTCAATGCCGGCAAAACGCAGGCCTGTCGCAAAACAGAGTCCGCTTACATCTGTACATCTGTAGAGGTTACTGATCATCTCGAGCTTCTTGGCATACAGTTGATTGCTAACCTCAACTTTGGCGCCAACATTGGGTCGAAAGCACAAAATGCGGCCAAAAAACTGGCTATTTTAAACAAGGTGAAGCGAAACTCAAGTCCGAACATGCAGGGAGTTACCTTTGGCATGGCTCAGAAAATTATCAACTTGCCGCACTCGACTCAGTGCAACGCAGAGCCAAGAGAATTATCGGCGATAAAAAGCTGGAGGAAAATAAGCTTCACAGCTTAGTTCACCGCAGCCTAGTTGCTTTTTTATCGGTCTTCTACAGAGTGTACATCGGAGAGTCTGCCCATGAGCTTCATAAGCTTATACCACCTTACTTTACCATAATCCTGTCGGAATACCAGACGTACTGCAGGTTACCATCCACATTAATTTGGTTGATATTCTGAACATTCGGACTAAACGCTATAAGTCATCTTTCATAATGCCCACAGCTAAGGAGTGTCTGCGTGAATACCCTGCCGGCGTCTCTTTTTCCGAGTGCATATAACCTTAATCTTTTTAAAGTGCGTGTTAATTCCATCGTAGAAATCATCTTTGCCCTCGGACGAGATGGAAGTCAAGAGTGAGCCTAGTTTAGTAATAAAAAATATGTAAAGATTATTATACAATTTTTATAGACTGAGGAAGATGGGTTGATCTAGTACGACCACTAGCGCGACTGCCGTACATGTGGTCCGGGGTTTGGACCAAAACCATTATTGAGCTTTTTGTCAGGAAATTGCTAGAAGTTAGGAGTGAAGAAGTTGACGGTTTTTCTACTGTCTCTGGAAAAGCACATATAAACCGTTGGACATGCACCTGATCTCTCTCCGGTCATTTCGGATGCAGTCCCATCGAACTATGAGAATTACGAAAACATACTGCGCACATGGCTAGTCTCCGTTGAGACTAACCAAGAATCCTTTCTTGGTCAGTCTTTTTATAATTCATTATACGCAGCAAATTTGATTTTACAGGTGCTGCCATTCGGTCTACTAGTAGCCATCGTCAGTCTCCCCTTCGTAACGGTCGACGTCAAAAACGCCCCAAAGATTGACAGTGACTTCGAAACTAATTTCGTTGGGATAAAAACGAGCGATTTGTTTGCAGAAAGGCTTAACGGCGTCATCGGCGACTACATTAAAATGGGAATCTTGTAAAATCACTTTTAATTTAATATTAACTAATGGATATATTATTGTATAGTTAAATTACTTAAACTACTAACTAATATAAATTATTGTCATTGAAAAATTCAATAGATGTAATCTACCTGAGGAGTCCGCCTGAATTTATACCACCTTCTTGCTTATTGCTTACTGCTCTTGCTTACAACCACTGTATTTTGATGGGAAGAGAGGTTGGTTTGAAGAGTAAGATATGTAATATAATATTTAATGTGGTAGAGTATGTGGTGGACCAGCACGAATGCAACGTGAGAATGTCAGTCTAAAGTATATATACATATATAAAAAAATTGAAGTGTGTGTCTGTAATATCGAAATAACTGCCTTTTATTGAGCTGAGGTGGGTATTTACATGCCATTATGACAGGAGTGGCCATTTGTAAAATGTTGTCCGTCTGTCTGTCTGCTCGGACCAATCTTCGGAATGGCTGAACCGATTGTGCTGAAATTTAAGAACAAATAGACAGCAATGCCGTTTGATAGTAAATGGATCTTAGCTTTATTTTATTCAAAAAACTTTTAGTTCTTTTTTGTGATATTGGTTATTGATGATAACTTTAAAAATCTAAATGACACCAAATTAAAAGATCCCACTCAGGTTAAACTGGGATGGGCCACTTATAGTATTATATTTTTTATGTATAAATTAATATTTATTATGTAAGATATGTAAGAAGTCGATGAATGTAGATGGCTTAGGACCGTGCCTTGTGGCATTTCTTGGGTGGACTTGTGATGAGCCGTAATGATGATATTGACTTATTATTACTTTTTAAATACTGCGAATCCTTCTAAAGTGAGTGGGGTACCATGTATAGCAGTAGACTTTTATACCAATAAAGAAGAGAAAGAATACAGAATAACATTTTAATGATAATAATGATGTATAAATGCTATTTAATATACAATTTTGTAAATGAAATTAAATAAATACTTGTATATAACAATATATTACGCGTTTTTTTTTAAATTATACCAGCATTTTGTGTTGTTTTTCTGCATTCTGCATTACCCCGGTCCGTAATACAACCATTGTTGATGATGTAGGCCGCTGGTGTCGTCTGGGGGAAAAATATATTAAAACAATTTGGTGAGCGCGTGTACATCCGCGGGAGGGAGACATAGGTGTCACCTCGTATGATGGTCTAGTGCAACTAACTTGAAGCGCGGGATCATGTACTTAGCGGTGTAACACCGATGATGCAAATATACCTTCACTAAATCGCGGTAAGTGCCACCGTCCCCGTATGCACACGTACTTATTTATTATAGAAAAACAACAAGTATATAAGGTAAGTAGCAATGTTTTATGAGTATATATTTTACATATATTATTTTTTATTGATTAATATTATTTTTATTTCAGGCGTTTGAGACGCAACGTGAGCGTCGTCAACATCCTCCCCCCAAGTTTCGGTTCGCCGTCACTCATCACCAAGCTGGAGAAAGGCCACGCGAGCAGCTGATCACTTCATCACTCCTGACTTAGTCCTAACCTCAACTACTCTGACACTGCCGTCTGAACCTGGATAAACCTTTTCAATAATACCTATTGGCCAACAGTTACGAAATAATGATGGATCGACTACTACAACAAGATCTCCTACTTTTAATTTCGGATATTCCCTATCCCATTTACGGCGAGGAATTAGCTCTGGCAAAAACTCTTTTACCCATCTGCTCCAAAATAAGTCTGTCAACCGTTGGGCAATACACCACTGTCGTCTAAGATAAATGTCGCCATCATCAAAGGCCCCAGGTACAGGTAAGTTCGAAGAAGATCCTAGTAAAAATGATTTGGAGTTAATGCTTCTTTACTTTGAGGGTCTACAAAAACATGGGTAAGCGGTCTACTATTAGTTATATTTTTGACTTCAGCGAGAAGCGTTAATAAAACTTCTTCTCGTGGAGCCCTCTCTCTAAGAACGACTTTCAGTGCCGTTTTCACACTTCTAATCAGACGCTCCAAAGCTCACCCGATATGAGGACTGGCTGGTGGTATAAACTGCCAAGAAACTCCTTTGTTTAATGCTTCGGCTATTACTTGCTGCTGCTTAATTTCTTCAAAAGATTTTCGTAGTTCAGCATCAGCACCTCGCATGTTGGTTCCGTTATCAGATATAACAGTATGATGCCACCCACGGCATGCAGCCATCCTCCTAAGTGCCATAATAAGTGAGTCTGCGGTAAGCGTCGATACTATTTCAATATGAACACCATATCTTTTGGGTCTCTGCCTGCCCACAGTTACTTCGATCGGACCGAATAAGTCTACACCACAAACGGTAAAAGGTCTTTGATGATGAACTGCTACTGAAAATTTACTGACAGAAAAATTTGGGATTTGCTAAAATTATAGGAAAAAGGAAAAAGAAATTTGCTTTTGAAACTAGACGTCAAGATCAGTCTAGTAGTTCAGATATTACACTATCACGAGATATCATTATCATTACAGCCCTTCAATAGTCCACCGCTGAACATAGGCCAAGGAATGCCACAAAGCACGATCCTGAGCCGCCAGCATCCATCGACTTGCAGCATCTCTTACCGTCATCGTCACTTCATCTAGTTTGTTGTTATTAACTAGATGAAATGACACGATTAGCTATACACTTATAAATATAACAATATTCTGTTCTTTTTTTATAATGGTTTCAAATAAAGAAAATTACCTTACCGTGTATTATCGGCGACGGTGTATCTTTCTCAGTATAGTGGTGTTGGGAGTAGTGGTGCTGGGATTAGGTGAAACACATAATTTTGTTTTATTACGCGGATCTTAGATAATCAATTTTTAACGTCATTAATTTAAAAAAAATGTATATATAATAATCTTTAATAATTTTACTTCGTAGAGTCACCTTGCAGCTATATTATGGTTGAAATAGTATTGGATCGGATCGACCGGTGTAGGAGCACGCTCTCTATATGAGTATCAGAGTAAGGTCGCAGCTCAATGCTGCTGTTTCGTATGGTGAGTGTAGAGATCTGGAGACCCTTTTTACTGGAAACGAGGCATTTCATCTTATTACACTATTCCCTATTACACTACACTAAATTAGGGCCCTGAATTAAGGGTGGGCGTGGCCCCTAACTAGACACGTCAGTTATTACACTACGCTGATTTTACGCCCTTACTCAGTCATAGGGATGGGCAAGTGAAAAAGTATCGATATTTATCGTATCAGTATTTTTAAATAGTATCAATATACATATATCGCGTGATAAATATCAATATATCGTAATGTTTCGCATGATTTAGTAGGGTAAAGGGCCAAAATGATTACTGTGGTGTTATAAATAGAATAGAAAAAACAAAATATTTAGGTGTTGTTATTGACCAGAGACTGTCTTGGTATAACTATATTGAATTAGTCACTGGCAGCATAAGAAAATTTATGTGGATTTTCAAAACGTAGTTTCAACAGTGGTAGAGCCACGCGGCAGCTTTTGCTGTCGCACGGAAGGGCCGGCTCGAACCGGGGTGGTACCAAGACCTCACAGAATACCAGCGTGAAGTAGAGGTTTACCTCTGCGTTGCGCTTGGTAAGTGCAGGTGGCCGGAGGCCCAATTCTTCTTTCCCTCCCTCAATATAGTAGCGGAATTAAAGAAAAGACTACCCAAGAAGGAATAGAATATAATAGAAGAGAATAATTTTTATTCAATATTGATTATTACATAATACTTATTGAAAGTAATTTCTTTATTTACCACTGGTTCGGAAAACACATCTGTCCTGGGAAGAACCAGCAAGAAACCCAGCGGGACTTTTTTTAACATAATTTCATTTATCAATAATTTTTTTATACAATTTTAAATGAATTTTCATAGAACCAGCATGGTGGCGATCACCTTATTCCCAGGGGTTATTTTCATTCATGTATTCCTTGATATTATAATAATCCTTTTTGTAAAGTGTTTCTTTAATAAAACTTTTAACCTTGTTTATTGACAAATTTTGAACATGTTCTGGGATTTTATTGTAAAAGCGTATACTTTACCATTTAAATGAATTACTAATTCTGTGGAGTCTAGTAACTGGCATTACACGCTTATGTTTGTTCCTAGTGTTTAAGTTATGAACATTTTTATTCTTATTAAAGCTATTTATGTTTTTATGTACGTACATTACAATTTCATAAATGTATTGCGATGCCAAAGTTAATATGATTACTTCTTTAAATTTTTGTCTGAGGGACTCTTTACAATTTAGGTTATAAATCGCCCGAACGGCTTTCTTTTGCAAAACAAATATAGCTTTAATTTCAGTCGCATTACCCCGTAGCAAAAATTCATAAGACATTACGCTATGTAAGTCACTAAAATACACTAACCTAGCTGTCTCAACATCTGTGAGATTTCTAATCTTTCTTACAGCATATGCTGCAGAACTAAGCCTGCTTGCTAATTTAGATATATGGGGGCCCTATTGATGTTTCGCGTCAATAGTAATACCAAGAAAAACAGTGGTATCCACAAGACTCAACTCCTCCCCATTTAAGAGCACAGTGGTTTTGGAATGTTTTATATTAGGTATTGTAAATTTAATACATTTTGTCTTATTGCCGTTTAAGAGCAATTGTTGGCGTTAAACCAATGTACTAATTTCGTTAGAGCATTATTTACATCGTCATAATTAATTGACTGGCGTTTGAGTTTGAAAATTACAGAGGTATCGTCAGCAAACAATACTATATCGTGATTGTCCCCTACAAGATAAGGTAAGTCATTAATATAGATAAAGAACAGGAATGGGCCAAGAATCGAGCCCTGAGGAACGCCCATTGATACTACCTATCCGGAGAAACCTTTACCATTGATTACAACTTTTTGAGTTCTGTTACTTAAATATGAAGTAATAAATCTAAGCGCCAAGTTTTTTATACCATGATGTTGTAGTTTCCTGATTAATGTCTCATGATGAACACAATCGAAAGCCTTGGAAAGATCACGGAAAATACCTAAGGCATCTTGTGAATTCTCCCAGGAATTAAAAATATATTTAATAAGCTCAACACCGGCGTCAGACGTCGAGCGACCCCATTGTAAATGAAATTGGTTTTTATAAAGTAATTTATTTGTATTAAGAAAAATTAACAATTGATCCAAAATTATTTTTTCAAAAAATTTACTGAGAGTTGGTAGTACAGAAATAGGTCTATAATTAGCGGGGTCCAATGTACTACCAGATTTAAATAAAGGTATTACTTTACTATACTTCATTATTTTTTGTACGTGGTAGAGCCATGCTGCAGCTATATTAGTAGTATAGTTGTAGCACGAATGGGTCGGCTCGACCGGGGAAGGACCGCGCTCCTACAGAATACCAGCGTCAAATAGCAGCTTAACACTGCTGTGTTTCGTATGTGAGTGTAGAAAACCGGAGACCCTTTTTACTGGAAAAGAGGCATTCCATCTTAGTCCTCACGGGTGACAACGCATCTGCATTTTGATTCGCAAACGAGAATAAATGTAGATATCTATGGGCCACAGCAACCATTTACCATCAGGTGGACTGTGTGCTCATTTTTCACACTATCCTATAAAAAAAAATCAAGAAACACCAGAATCGATACAAGTATTAAAAATAATAGCAAGATGAGGTGCAATTAAATCCATTATGGACGCAATCACTGTAACGGAAAACCCCCACAAATCTGCGGTTTTCTTTACATTAGTGGTTTCGAAGTATTTTACAATATTATGCGGTAATACTTTTTCAAATCATAATTCTTTTAAAGAGGTATTAACATTCTGTTTAAGTAATGAATTCGCGACAGTTGGAGAAGTATTGAATGACTCTGTTGTCAAGATAGGAACATCAGTGAAGTATTGTTTGAACACCGCTGCAACTTCTTGATATAATTTAGTCAATTAATTATTAATGTAGGGTACCTCGAGGCAAGCGGAGCAATAAGACCAAGGCGACCGCTGTCACGCTA